TAGTGAGTCCAGGTTAGCGTGGTCTGTGAAGATCTTGATGGGGTGTTTAGTTCCGACTAATAGGTATCGCCAGTGTTGGAGCAGCAAGGATCAGGGCTAGGAATTCCCTGTCCCAAACTGGGTAGTTCCTTTCTGCTTCGTTGAACGCGATGTGACATATTTCCGATCATTTTCCTTTTTCCTCTTTGGTCCTTTTGGAAGAGGATAGCTCCGGTGGCAAATTGTGAGGCATCGGTTTCTAATTCGTATGGGAGGTCAGGGTTGGCGGTGTAAAGTTCGGGATCATCGCAGACCGCTGCTATCAGGGTTTCTAGGGCTGTGGTCGCTTCTGGAGTCCAGAGGAAGGGGGTCCCTTTCTTGATTGTGGAAAAAATGGGGCGAGCTATTTTTGCGAAGTCTCGGATAAATGGCCGCTGGTAATTGAGGGCGCCCATGATTTGTTGTACCTGTTTCAGATTATTGGGGGGTCTCGGCCAGTTTTTGAGGCCGTCCATTTTGACTGGGTCGATTTTGAGGGTTCCTTGGTTGATCCGAAAACCTAGGAAAGTCAATTTCATGTTGTTCAAAGGCACATTTTGATGCTTTCAGGAAATAGGAGTCTCTTTCGAGTAGGTCGAGGAACTCATGGGTGATCTGTTGATGAAGAAGCTCTTCTCCTTTTCCTGTGGCTATTGCCACATCGTCCAGGTAGTTGCAGGTATTCTCTGGGATATTTTAGAAGCCAGGGTCGGAGGGTGTGGTTCATTGCCCGTTGGAAGGTGGCTGGGGCATTGGTAAAGCCAAAGCCCATTACCATGGGGACGAAGGTGCCAAATTGGGTTTTGAAGGCACCTTTATGTCGGTCTTCAGGGTGGATCAAGATGTTGTTGTAACCGGCTCGGACATCAAATTTGCTGAAGGTGGTTTTGCCCCTTAGTCGGTGCAATTGTTCTTCCATGTTGGGTAAGGCGTGGTAATCAGGGACTGTGGCGTTATTGAGTTTTCGGTAATCGACTACCATTCGTGGGGCGGTGCCATCCTTCTTTTGAACAAAGAAAACAGGGGATACAAAATCTGAAACGCCATCTTTGATAAAACCTTTGGCTAGGTCTTCTTGTATTTGTCTTGATAATTCTTGTTTCTCGTTCTGGGGGAGTGGGTAAGTTCGGCAATCAAGGAATTTGGGGGCGTCAGGTTTCAGAGTGATTCTAAAGTCGAGTTCTCCCCGACTAGGTGGGAGTCGTCTGGCTGCTTCTTCTGAAAAAACCCTTTGGTGTCGTGAATATTCGGGGGGAATGACAGTTGTCCTGATTTGTGCAATCCGTATTTTTGGTGATTTAGTCAGGGGTATAGGGGTGAGAAGGACCCCTAGATGGTTTCTTAGGCGACCAGTGTTCCAGTTGATAAGAGGGTTCAATGCCTTTAGGAAGGGGTAGCCGAGGATCATTCTATCTTCTCCCAAATTTGTAACGTAAAATGTGAGAAGTCGTGTGGTGGGACCATGACGTACGGCCATATGAGCATAGTGAGTCAGTGCTCCTCCTTGGTTACTGGTGCCATCTACATTAATGATGGGTCTGGGGGTTCTGAGAGTTTGGAGTGGAATTTGTAATTTTTCCACGATTCCTTGACTAATGAAGTTTTCTGTTGCTCCACTGTCTAGGAGTGCTTGACCAGTCTTTCCATTTGTTGTGATCATAAAGGGAACTTTCATTGAGTTTTCTTTATGTTGGACAATGGTATCTATTTGGGCCTTAGTATCGACTGTTGTACCTTGGCCTAGAGAAAATCCTCTTTTAGGATGAGGTCCCAAAGTTTGGCTCTATCCTCCGCTGGTAAAGTTTTCATGCGGGCCACCATAGTGGCGGCTTCTTCCTCCTTGGGTGGTTCTGGGGCTGGTTCAGTGGTTCGTGCTTTGGAGGTGGTGGGGGTAGGTATTTTTGGGACATTCTCGGCTAAGGTGGCCTTTTTCCCGGCAGCGGAAGCAACGTCCTTCTTTCGCCAATTGTTTCCTTTCTTCTTCAGTAAGTTTCTTGAAATTAGATTTGGCGGCGTCCACTTGCATTCGATCGGGGTGGTGAGTTTTGTGTTCTGAAGGGGAGTGTGTGGTTTTTCCTTTGAGCTTCTCCCTGATGGTGATGAAACGTCGATGTTGCCTTCTGGCTTCTTCCTTTCCATTCCTGGAGGGTGGTGGGCCAGACGTCTCTGTTTAAGATTGCACGGTAGAGCCCGATTTTTAGACCATTTTTGAAGCTTTCAATGGCGATAACGTCCGTTTCTGGCCACCCTGTTTTATTCAGAAGTTGTTCGAAGGTGGAAATGTAATCGTCAAGGGATTCCTTCATTGTATGCTTGGCAAGAGCCGCTTGGGCATCCTCTTTCTCCGCAGTGTTAGTGAATTTGAATGTAAAGTCTGTAACAAAGTCATTCCATAATGCTTCGTTCATTCTATCGATGGGGTTCTGGGCCCTGTTTACTTTTTCCCTGAGTGCGGTTGCTTGTGAATTGACCCATTCTTCAACCTTTTCTCCTTGAATATAGGAGAGAGCCAGCATTGTTCGTTTAAAAGGGGAGATCATTACTGCTTTGTCATCATTGAGCCCCCAGAATAGGTTGAATTCCATGATAAATCTTTTTGTTTTGTTCCTCTCCCCTGTGAAGGCAGTGGGTTCTTTACCGCTGAGGGACCCATTAGTGCCTTGTGGTGCTGGAGCAGCTGCTTGAGGGGGTGGAACGACGACTGGGGGGGCCTGGGCGGCCATCTGGGGAGCCTGAGCGGCCATCTGGGGGGCCTGAGCGGCCATCTGGGGGGGTTGTACAGCGACTTGGGGTTGGGCTGCCATATCAGGTTCTGGAGGGTTCTGTGGGTTGATTTCTAGGGTTTCGATGGATTCTTGACTTTCAAGGGGGTTCTCTGGCTCTAGTGCAGGGGATTCGAAAGGTGTCTGAGTTTCAGTGGTGTTTTCTGGTTCAGGGGGGTTGCCTTCTGTGGAAGAGGCTTCTGATTCTGACGGTGGTTCGTAGAGAGGGTCGTTTTCCCTCCAGTAGCCTAATCCAAGGCTGTTTCTAAGGAGTTCTAGGTCTTGGTGAGTGTAGAGTTGTCCTCTCCTAAGTTGTAGTTCGAACCAGCGGTTGTTGATGAATTCAACTGGTAATTCTTCGTTGTTTTCAGTGGTGATGTAACAGAGGAAAGTGTGAAAGCTGTCCCAAGTGGCAGCTCCTACGACGTGTTCGGGAAGGTCTGGGGATGGTCTGGGTTGGACACGGACCCAACGATTCGATGGTAGTTCAAGGTTGATCTCCAGAATGGAGTAGGAAGCTTAGCTTGTGTTACGGCGTCGCGGCCGTTAGAGCGTTAGCTCAAGGTTCAGTGGGGCCAAGTCCCTGTGACTTGGTTCAAGGGTTCAATGGGGGCCGGCTCAAAGAGACCGGGTCAAAAGGTTTAGCGTCTCAAAGCTGAGTCAGACAATGACTCAGCCCGCAGACAGAGTTGATCTCCTGGTTTCACAGAAGAGGAGGACGATGAAGAGAGGCAGAGGAGGAAGAGGAACACAAGGGTTCCTTGAGGTGTGCTTAGGTCAAGCAAGGTGTAGGCCAGCACAAGCAGAGTTGTGATTGAGAGAGGGTACAGGGTAAGGGATGCGACAGGAAATGGGACAAAGCTAAGCTTGGGGCATTCCCCAGCTTCTACAGGCGCTTAAATACTGTATGTAGCGAGGCTGTACAGTACTATAAGCAGAACAATAGGTGAAGGTGAGCCAATAGCAAAGATAACTCAACAATAGGTGAAACACAATAGGTGAAACACAATGGACGAAACAGTAAGGGACCATCAACATCAAGGGATGAACAGTAATCAAGAGGGTGGTAAGGGGGAACAATAACAAGAGAGTAATGGGCGAACCGACAGGGGGTAAATCATAACACCACAACTCCCTCTCTCCACCACGTCACACATGCAAGCACACCATGCCCTCCACCTCTCGCCTCCGATGCACACACTCGCTCCTCCACCTCTGACATTGCTACCACCCACGTGCACCCGTACGCATACCCCCACGCTCACCCCCATGCGCACGCACGCTTGCCCGCATTGCCCACCACTGCCTCATCAGGCAGAAGTCCCCAATGTTCAAGACCTGGCCAACCACCCCTTCACGGCATTTCGGCCATGCCGACTAGTGCCCCACTCGTTGCTACAGCCCCCTTTACTATACCCTTCCAAAGCCTAGCTTCGTTACACCTGTCGCCTCAACGCCGCGATCACACGTGTCCATCCCATTTATCTCAGAATACATTTACCTCTCCTTAGCTACTCTCATTCTAGGATACCATTTAGTCTAGCTCCAGTCCCAATGTACATAAAAACCAGCCTTCGTCTCTAGGACGAAGGCAAGAAAGGAAGGAAATAGAAAGAAAGCAAGCAAGCAAGAAACCCTTTTACCCCCACTTCGACCGACTCGCACGCATGGCCGCCTCCCATCAGGAGAGGAGAGGCGAGAAAGAAAAACGGTGTCATCAGGGGAGAAGGAGAGGGGAAGGATGGGAAAGGGGAGGTGGGTTGGGGAGGAGAGGAGAGGACAATATGCAGTGTAGCATGGCCACCTTCAGTAAGGCTCGATAGTGCAATATAATTATAATAACCAATAGTCTCCATAGAGCAATGAATTGTCTCCATAGTGCAATGTAGTAAACTGATCATCTCCATAGACAACCATAATTTCAGTCATCCTACATAGTGATATGTAGACTTGGTTTCATCTACATGCCTACATAAATATAGTCATAAACTACTGGAACTACATTGAGCAATATAGACTTACTATGATGCTATAGAGCACTACATAGTATGTTGTTGTGCTATGGTGTCTATGGTGTCTACAGAATTAAGCGGTGTCTACGGACCGGACTGGTTTTTCCTGATGTGGGAGACAACACGTTGCATGGTCACTACAGTACTATGGCTCAGTGATACCACTGAAGGTCATAACCTGCATAGGATATGGAGAAAAAGAAAAGAAAGGCACTACCAGGGTTTGAACCTGGGTTAATGGAAAGTGGTGTTAGCAAGTCAGAATCTGTTGTGATAGCCACTACACTATAGCACCAGCAAGTTGAAGTTTAGACCATGCCATCTTTCAGACCATGACAAAATACATCACGCTAGAATCAATGAAAGATGCACTGTCTAGCTGCTCTGCTCGTATTCCCCGAGTGACTGTCAACGATAAGTATTCAATGAAACCCTGCTGTCTTAGGGCATGAAAGTAACCGCCATGAACTGAAGTGTTCTTCATGGTCTCACATTTACCTCAAATAGTTGACGGATGACTTCGTTAGGCCCGGAAACGTCTCGCTGGAGCTTACCCGTTCACGACCACACCGCCAAGCGCTTGGGTCACTGTGGCACCTTGCGGAGGATATTTTATGTGGTCTACTCAGTGTCGGTTGTTCCAAGGCTATGCGAGCCGTCTCAGCTCAATGCCTTTCTGGGCCCAATGACACGCTCCAAACGTCCTTTTGTTCCTCGTTTGCGACGGAACAAGGGAAAAGAAAAAAAAGCGTTCCAATGACTGTTTGTGGATTTTTTTTTTTCCTTTGACAGATACAAGCCCGACACATCAGCACAATGATGGGATGGGGTGCCCCAGACACGCAAGGTGGCGTTCCTCCCCTGTTGCGTTCAGGCGCTAATACTTACGCGGTCGTTGAGATCCTGTAGGTAGGCTGTTCCCAGCACTCCACCGAGTACACGAGGCGATCCATAGCCGGCCGGGCGGAGAAAACTTTGCTCAAAGCACGCGGAGGCCACGTACCGAAAAGGTACTGAACCATAGACGCCACCCCGCAAGCGACCCTCCAGGCCGGGGTGGGGGGAAGCGCCCATCCCCCACGTTAAAAAGCACGTCCGCATCGCCCCCCACACCTCAATTTTCCTCCGCGTCTCACTCACAGTACAACCCCAACAGATCAACGCTTCATGGATTTTGGCAACGCCAGCGACAGCGCGCTGTGGTCATATCTCGCGCCACAAGAGGACCAAACGAGCGTATGGTCCGAGATCGCGGACAATATGCAACCTGTCAACTTCGACCCGCTTCCGGGCGGCTCTGCTGTGGGCATCATCTCATCTCCCGGGCGTGTAACAGGTTATTAACGTCTCACCGTTACAGGACATCGATTGGAACGCTCTGTCAGATATTTTTGGAAGCCAACCCAATGGCGGCGGCACGTTTACCGCCATCGATGATACCTTCCCCGCGACGTCCATCCCTTCCCCCAACTCCTTCGGTTCTGGTAGTTTCGACTATCTGAACACCGTGCGTGCACAGCGTCTTGTCGTCAATCGTCAACAATTGACTTGCCTTGTCGCGTCACAGGAATTTCATCCTCCTTGGGAGATGCCAACGCCGCGTAGGTCATTGTTCCTTTCTGTTATGGGCTTGTCTTCACGCAATCCAAAGCTTTTTCAGAAGTAGATTCTGTACCATCGTGCGACAATTCCTGGGCTGAACTTACCCCCGAGTCCTCCCAACCGCCGCCGGTGTTGGATAGCGTGAGGACGAATCATACGAGCGTATAGATTCCGCCTAGATTGACATGCTGGCAGGTCCCGGTTCCAAACGGATTCGTGGCACCGGCCGCCGCTTCTCGGGTCAACTCGACCTGGCCATTCGACTTCCCGTGGCTGCTGGGTTACCCTGATAGATATCAGTGCGTAGCAGGGCCAATGCCATCGAGCTACGGCTACGACGCAGGGTCATTTGGTCTCGCTGGGGTTGAATCTTCGTACATATTCTCTTTTGTTCCGTGGCCTGCCTACGGGTCGACGTGATGGCCATGACTGACGCTGCGACCTCCAGGTTTCAAGCAGGGTACGGGCAGGCCGGGCTCTACTTACCCGCCTCTGTCGCACCGGCGTCCAACCAGGACGCATTCGTGGTGCCGCAGACCCTCCTTGGCAAACGACGTCGAGACGAGGACGATATCCTCGAAGATGCAAGCTCAGAGGCGAATAACAGCCAAGGACGACACGTGCGCCAGAAGGGCAAGGCCAAGATGGCCACTACACTCAGGGTCTTGGATGCAGGACGGTCCACAAACAGGACTCGTTACAAACCTGCCACCAGGACCCTGTCAGGATTGAATCATAAATCCGAGGTTGTGGGACGTGGAGCGGAGAGGCTCGCGACCCCGAACGCGCAAGGAATTTACCATCCATTCCTGCAGGGGCCAAATGACCAGCAGGAATCGACAAGCACAATTGCGCAGGAAGAGCTACCTTGGGTTGAGGGGAGAGAACAGGGAGCGGCGTGGCTCCACACAAGCGACATGGTGCGGCAACAAGAAGCCGATAGGGCGAACGATGAGGACGGGGAGGCGGCGGAAGAGTATCGATTTCTCAAATTGGGAGGACTATAAGAGGCACTCCGACACGGCGGAGGCGCACCCTCGCAGCATCTCTTTCTGCGACTCGTGCGGGGATTACTTTGCGCGCGGCGACTCGCTGGTCCGGCACCGCAAGAACCCGCCGCCCGAGTGCCTCAACGTCAGCCCGGATGTGGCCGAGAACAAGCGTACGGCGACGCGGAAAGCCCACGAGGACTTTTCAGAAGATCTGGACGGGTTCTTGAACTCGGACGGAGAGGTGAGGGGACTCAGGTTTTTTTCGGAGAGAATGAAGGAAATCTACCCCAAGTCGTCGAAGAGGGGGAGCAGGCAACAGAGGCGCCTCCAAGCTTCCGAGTAGATACCCTTTTTTTTTTTTTCTTCCCATCTTCTCATTTTGACGGTCCTGGAATGAGGAGAGAACTTGCGGTGGTGCACCACGGACGATTGTCGTGTATACTTGTTATACTTGTTCTTGTTGTAGTGATCTATCATTTATATATCAGCAGCATTCGCGATCTGAGGCGGCTCTGAGTGCACCGTGTATCCCCTTCCATCGAGCACTCCTTGCTGATTGCACCTAATACACCAACTGGAGTCGCGATTAGGAAAGGTAAAAAAAAAAAAGAGGGCGAAGGGCATATTGGGACGGACAATCAATCGATCTGATACGTATCAGCGGCCGAATAACAGACGTTCATTTTATACGCGCGTCGGACTCGGGTTTAACACGCCTGGATCCTTCTTGCCACGCTGCCGCAACGTGAACAAGGAGTATCATATACAGGATGAGGAACGCGGACTCCGCGTCGAAACGTCGAAAAAAACGTTGGCCTGTCCACAAGGGACAACAACACGACACCCGAACGGACACTACGAGCCATTTATAACCCCAAAACCAGCACTTTTTCCGTGGTCACGCGCGCGGCCGCACACACACAAGCACCCTCGCCACAAGCCAGCCGGATCTTTTTTGATCGCTTGTCCCTCACAGCAGACATCGTCGACGCGTTTCTTGTCGGTCGGAGGGGTCAGGAGGGGGGGGAGGGAACCCGCAATCGATCGGACTCGCAAAGGCGCGTCCGATTCATGCGTCGCATTGTCCACTTGGAAGTACAAAAACAAAATATGCACGCACCTACATCGATCCGTAAAATTTTTTGCGTCGTCCAGACTTGCTGAGCACAGCTGTGCGTGTTGTCCTTTCTCCTTCTGTTCTTTTACGCAATCGATATCAAACTTCACATCCGTGTAACGCTACCATGGCCATGGCAGTTGATGCAAGATGCAAGGTCATAAGTGCAGAACGTACCCAGACCACCACCCACCGCCAGGTCGTCGCACATAGACCCGTCGGGTGGGGGACTTCCTCCATTCATCATATTAATACGATCTTGGCCCCACGCACCCTACGGCGCGGCTGCCCAGTGAAAAGATACTGACATCAAGGGTACTGTACTCACTGGCTAGGTATCACGATGATTGCCGTTCAATACAACATCCATCTCATTTAGGTCCCCATCTTTATCCGCATGGGATGAGAACACTTCGCCGCCAGAAGCGAGCGAGTCGATCAGGAGCGCCAGGCGCGATTTGGTCATATTCGATTCCTTTGAACACGCCGGCGTGAGGGGACGCGTGTATGTATATGTAATGCAGTGAGAAGAAGGAAGGGGCAAGGGCAAAAGTGTTCGCGGGGAGGCACGCACCTGTCGGATCTATTCCAGGTCGTCGCCAGACGCGTCCGCCACGGACGCCATCCAGAACTGCCTGGACCGGTTCCGCAGCGCCTGCTCCTCCTGCCCTCGATCGCTGGAGCCCTCCGGAAGCAGAAATGGCGGCGCATCGGCCGCCGGCGGTGGCGAGGGCGAGGGCGGTGGACGCCTCCCGGTGGCGGCGGGGGGCTCCGGATCAGAGAAACGCCGCGCATTATTTGGGGAGGTGGCCACATGTGAGGACGGTGCGCCGACAACGTGCGGCGCGTCGTCGTTTTCTGAATCCGACGACGAGGACAGGGACGGAGAGGGAGACGACTCGTCAGCCGAAGATGGAGATGGCGTAGCTTGCTTTTTGATGAGAGGGACCCGTTGGAGGGGCGCCTTTCTCGACGCCTCATCCGATGAGGAGTCTGAAGAGTCCGAGGATGGCGAGGAAGAAGGGGAGGGGGAGGCCAAGCGCCGCTTGCGCTTTCCATTACGCTTTCGAGGTGCTGGTGGTTTAGCCGTAGACATCTTGCGATGCTGGTATGGTGTGGTGGTTGAGAGCTGCACCACCGGTCCGAGTCGAGCGCTGGAACATGGTCATCCTCACCTCCGAGTCAAGGCTTGCTGCGCCATGCTCCGATGGCGACTGACTTCTAGGCAAGCTCACACAAGTAAGCCCCGTCCTCAATGCCCTATACTCTGATCCTGTTCAAACCTTTCTCGTCGAAGCAAACGCTGGATAGTGGATCGTGCCACGCTCAAGCAAGCACGGAGCGAGGACCTTCAATATGTCGAGTCCGCAGAGCACATCGACTTTCTAAACATCTACTTTGCAAACCGTATGCGTCCCACATTTTCCGTTTTAGCAGCTTATGCCATGACCCCCACCAGTCATCGCGATGTTGGGCAAACGCTTGCCGCTGCGTCAGCGTGTGATCGCCACCGCCACGGTCTTTTTCAGGCGGTTCTACGTCAAAAACTGTACTGCGAGACGGACCCCTTCATGGTGATAGCCG